GGCAAACATTCTCCTGTAGTAAGTCAGTTTGGCCACTAGGAATGTACTACAACCTTTGGAACATAAAAAAACCCTTTTGGTGAATTACAGTAATGGTTTTTGCAGATTAATTATGTACTGTAAGTACAGTAAGGGTGATATTGGCAAAATTTCAGCTGTGGTAAGTCAGTCTCATAACCACAAATGTACTACAACCTTTGGAACATGAAAAAACCCTTTTGGTCAATTACAGTAATGGTTTTTGCAGATTAATTATGTACTGTACGTACAGTAAGAAAGAAATTGGCAAAATCTCACCTGTAGTAAGTCAGTCTCATAACTACAAATGTACTATAGCCTTTGGAACATGAAAAAACCCTTTTGGTCAATTACAGTAATGGTTTTTGCAGATTAATTATGTACTGTACGTACAGTAAGAAAGAAATTGGCAAAATCTCACCTGTAGTAAGTCAGTCTCATAACTACAAATGTACTATAGCCTTTGGAACATGAAAAAACCCTTTTGGTCAATTACAGTACTGGTTTTTGCAGATTATGTACTGTATGTACAGTAAGGGAGATATCGGCAAAATCTCACCTGTAGTAAGTCAGTCTCATAACTACAAATGTACTATAGCCTTTGGAACATGAAAAAACCCTTTTGGTCAATTACAGTACTGGTTTTTGCAGATTATGTACTGTATGTACAGTAAGGGAGATATCGGCAAAATCTCACCTGTAGTAAGTCAGTCTCATAACTACAAATGTACTATAGCCTTTGGAACATGAAAAAACCCTTTTGGTCAATTACAGTACTGGTTTTTGCAGATTATGTACTGTATGTACAGTAAGGGAGATATCGGCAAAATCTCACCTGTAGTAAGTCAGTCTCATAACTACAAATGTACTATAGCCTTTGGAACATGAAAAAACCCTTTTGGTCAATTACAGTACTGGTTTTTGCAGATTATGTACTGTATGTACAGTAAGGGAGATATCGGCAAAATCTCACCTGTAGTAAGTCAGTCTCATAACTACAAATGTACTATAGCCTTTGGAACATGAAAAAACCCTTTTGGTCAATTACAGTACTGGTTTTTGCAGATTATGTACTGTATGTACAGTAAGGGAGATATCGGCAAAATCTCACCTGTAGTAAGTCAGTCTCATAACTACAAATGTACTATAGCCTTTGGAACATGAAAAAACCCTTTTGGTCAATTACAGTAATGGTTTTTGCAGATTAATTATGTACTGTACGTACAGTAAGGGTGATATTGGCAAACTTTCACCTGTAGTAAGTCAGTCTGGCCACTAGGAATGTACTACAACCTTTGGAACATAAAAAACCCCATTTGGTGAATTACAGCTTGTTTTCTAAGAATAATTATGTACTGTATGTACAGTAAGGGAGATATTTTAAATAATATTTTCATTCCGATATAAAGTTGTTGCATATTGTTAAAACTAATCGTGGTAGTGGTATCTTTGTAGGACTGTCGACTCTATAGAACAGAGGCACGCGAAAGCGAATGTCTGGCGAATATCGAACCTAAAACTAACTTTACACCGCTCTTTCAGCGATACACCCCTGGACTGCTATTCTAGAGCTCCTCCCCTACTCACTCTCGGGTTGAAACAGGAAGACGAGCTTCTGAAGCGGGCAAAGCGAAACCTCTAAACGAACAAAGAGCAAGGAAGTGCAAACTGTACGAGAAAATTTGATCAAGCAGAATCATAAGTAGACTCACGTTTAGTTTTTCTACAGCGCTTTACAGGTTGCTAAAAGCAGCTTTAAACATGAACAAAAATTGTGTCAGCATCGCAAAGGTCTTAATTTTAATTATAAATTAAATTTCAACCATAAAGCAACACTACAGGAAATAATAGAGCTGAATGCGTGTACGATGTTAGTGTATTTTTCTTTAAGGGGGAGGCAATATTTTTGCTTTGATCATTTGCTGTATGTTCGGCACATAAACTCAGCTTTGTAGAGAAATTCACAGAAACCCGTTTTCACTTCAGAGAAGAAAAAAGATAAATAAACCGAGTGCATAATTTTACTTGATTCCTGCGGGGAGGTGGTTGTTTAAAGTACAAATTACTTGTAATATTATTTCAGTGGAAAAACAGTTGTAATTATAATTTGACTTCAAGTCTTACAGAAGTTTTGCCGTTGGCTCTTCATCTCCATACAATGACTGAATGCATTTTTAATGCATTTTTTAACTGCATTTTTTTGCCATTAGGGGAAATGTCGTCTACAAAAGTTATGCACATCAGGTAAAAAAAAAGAAAGAAAAAAAGTTTAACAATCTATATCATTAAAATCCACCACAAAGATACAAGAAAATCAGAAAAATGCATGTCATGTGGTAAGTTTTAACCACACTGGAAACATTTTGTTTGTTAAAGCAACACTATGTAGTTTTTTTACCTTAAAATAATGTCTCAAATGATTTCAGTGGTAGAACAACTCTTAACTGGACAAATTCTACTGCCGCTGCTACCGGTGTCTGCATGAGTTGGGAATGAAGGGATGAGGTGAGGACTCAATCGCAGGAGGAATTAGGGCTTTTATTAATAACAAAATAAAACAAAAACAAGCAGAAACTAACCCATAGGGGAAACCGATTGGCAAGGCAGGACACAAGGCACACACAACATTCGACAACAGACTCGCACAGGATTGTAAACACAAGGAGAATAAATAGGGAGCAAATGAGGAGGGTAATGAGGAAAACACAGGTGGGGCAAATTAACCAATAATCAGGTAACAAGATGGGTGGGGTTAGACAATTGACATGAGAGCACATGACACAAGAAACCAAACAAGACAAAAGCCATGTGCTCACACAAAACACAAACACATGGCCAGCAAAACAATCACAAGCCATGTGCTTGAACAAAACAAGATACGAACACGCAGCTAATGAGAATACTCATAAGCCGCGTGTTCACACAAGACATGACAACATGAAAGCACGCAGCTAATGCAAAACACAAGCTTGTTTTCCGAACCCCGACACCAAACCGAAACTCAATCTGATTAAGACACAAGTGCCGGGATCCGAACACCACGCTCCAACAAGAAAGAAGGCACGCAGACAAGAGAGTGCACGGCTCGAGCACACAAAGCCGCTCGCTCACAAGAAAACAAGACAAGACGGGAGTGTCAGGGCTCCGTCACAACACTATGAATAAACTAGACCAAAGTGACAGAACCCTGACAACCTGAGCAGCCTCCTAGCGGCTACAACCACACTCTGTAATGCCGAGTTCACACTGCACGATTTTAGCCCGATTTTTCACTCGCCGACAGGTTTTGCGAAATCGCCGACAAATGCCCGAAATCGGAGGCAATTCGGTGCTCGTTCACGCGAGTGACAATCACGCAGTGTGAATTATCAAAGACGCGAACTGAGGGATTCACAATCATGCTGTGTGAAATGAGTTCTGACTGAAAAACACATCGGCGATGACCTACAGCCAATGAGAGACCAAGATACAGGGCAGAGGGAAGTTCGTGGAGGAGTTATAGACCAGAATATCAGTATTTTAATAGGTATATGAACAATTATATCATACAGAATCAAGCACAAACATTTGCTTGACCAGCCACAACATCAGCATAAATTATTTACCTCCATCTCTCTTTGCAGAACACCCAATCCCTGTTCCCTGCATCTCCCTCCTGCATAATCTGTTTTTCTTTTTCTCCTTGTAGCTGGAAATCAGCTCACAGACAATTTGCGGGCTATATAATTACAGTCTTGCTCGAGAACTTTGTCTGACGCACCCGGGTTCTCACGTTATTTCCTTTTCACTTCTCGCGTGTGTTTTGTTGTGAAACGTAGTTTGCGGACCAGACAGAGCTGTCGGCGATTCTTCCTATTGTGAAGTCATGCAGTGTGAAACCTCCTGTCGCCGATCCATCGTGCAATGTGAACACAGCAGCAACTGACTGCTACCCCAGATAGTCACGCAGTGTGAAAACAACGCGATCCGACGACTTTGAAAATCGTGCAGTGTGAACTCGGCATAAGTTTCGTGTTCGGGTCAGTACACACAGCCCCGCCCATCCCCTGCCAGCGGAAGAGTGCGACCTGCTTTACGGCATACCTCACATATTTTACTCGTAGCCTGGGTGGAGTTAGCCAACAGCTAACTATAAGATGAAACAATCTAATATGCAAGTCTCAAAACCAACGCCATGGCAGAGCCAGCAAAGAAACCAAAGAAGGTTTTGTCGGTTAAGCGAATAAAAGAAAGAGAGAGTGATCGGACACGAGCCCAAACACGAATCAATATCGGACTGGCCTACACTCGGTGGCACGATCAGTTGTAGTGGCTAGATGGAAAGTAAAGTCTGTAACCCAGAGCGCTTCCAAAATAGTGAATAGTTTTCGGACACTGGCTGTAACCATGTGTACCATGTTAGTTTCGACACCCAAGATCCAAAAACGAATTCCCCAGTCTACTTCACGTCTGAATGGTTATTCCAATAAAGAGGCTCTGTTACTTTACAGCCTTGTAAACTTATGACAATGTCCGATGTATAGGCTATTATGGACATTATGGCTACATGATTGCGCGAATAACATTTTATTCTATTATACAAATTACTCACAGTGCTACATACAAACAATGCGAGCAAAAAAAACTAGGCTAACATACTACCGTTCTTTTTGTCATTGTAGTTTTCAATTCTGGAGTAACAATAAATAAAACTATGTAATGATATATGTAGAACATAGAGTAACACGGGCGACTTTACCTGGTCATGGTTTCCAAATGAGGTTTCTGCATGCGCTGGTTCTGTCAGATTAGTCAACAAATTCACGTGTATTGCGCTGCCCATGAGGAAGCTTATACAGCGACAGTATTTACGGCACTGTTAACAGACAGTTGCACTTATCATCCGCATGGGGGATCCGTGAGCAAATGTTCCATGGTGTTGCTTTAAGTGAACTGCTTTAAGAGCACAATCAAGACTAATTTGTACTTTTTCTTAGTGATGCAAAATGGAAGCCACTAAAAGATTGTTGGAGGCACTTAAGGAGCTTAAGAAAGCAGAGCTCAAAGAATTCATCTGGCACCTGTGTAATGGTGTGGCAGCAGACATTGAGCCTATTCCTCGAGGAAACCTGGAGGAAGCTGATCGTCAGGATGTGGTGGACTGCATGGTAGAGCAATACAGTGATGATGCTGGGAAGATCACAGTCCAAGTGCTGCGCAACATCAAACAAAATAATCTCGCAAACCACCTTGAGTCAAAACTTCAGGAAGGTGTGTGTGTGTGTGTGTGTGTGAATATATATATATATATATATATATATAGACATGAAATTAAGATTCTTTGTTCTATATGTACATATTCCTGGCTTCAGTTCGGCAGCCTGTGCAGGAGGACACAAGACATGCTCTAGTGCCTGTGGAGCCACAGCCCATCCAGTCTGATGGGAAACGTCGCAGCATGACTCAATCCAGCCAAGAGTTTAAACGCAAGAAGCTTCAGGAAATGGGAGATGAAGCAAGTATCACTGTTTCAGTTAGCTTTTGTAAAAACAATACATTCAGGGGTAGTCAGACCTGATTTTGGAGGGCCACCTTTCCTGCAGAGTTTAAAGCAGAAAGGTGTTCAGGATTACCTGAAAAATAAAGGGATTGACACTCCTGAACATTAATCTTAAATTGTTTTCTAATGTAAAATGTCTGACTTTACAGAAAATAAGAAAGAGTTGGAGGCAGATTCTTTGGTTTTTCGGCATATTTTGCATATTTTATTTCGCATACAGTGCAAAATGTGCACTGCTAGGGAGTCTCAAGTGTTGAGAAACACTGATTCTGTTATTCTGCAATTGCTCTATGTTAATTCGGCATAATTGTGGTGTTTTCTTCATAGATTTATATACCAGCAAAGTCTCAGAGGAAAGGCTCAGCTCTGCTGATCACCAACATTGTATTTGACTATGAAGTGAACAACAGGCCCGGGGCAGAGATAGACGAGGAGAACATGGAGTGGCTGCTGAGAGCTTTGGGTTATAATGTTGAGAAACGCAGAAATCTCTCTGGAGAGGTACGTAAAACAATATTCCTCCCTCCTGAAACCAATACTGTCTAGGTAAAGCTAATAGATTTATAGTGTGGAAATAGAAATGTGAACACATATTTAAGTCTAATTATACTAAGCATTTTATTGCATGCATTTCTTTTAAAAATAGTTTGTTTATTTATCCACAGGCGATAGATAGAGAAGTCAGAAACTTCTCTAAACTTCTTTCTGGACATCGAGACGCAGACAGCACCTTTGTGGTCATCATGTCTCATGGGGCAAGAATTAACAATAAAGATGCCATTTTAGGTGTCCATTATCATCTGTCCCGAAACCCCAATGATGTCTACTTTGTTGACGAGACCTTCTCCCATCTGAACTCAGTGAATTGTCCCGCTCTGATTGATAAACCGAAGGTTATTCTCATTAACGCCTGCAGAGGAGGTACAGCATGACTGATGAAACTCAGTGGTTATGATATTGTTATTTCTCATTTTCATTTCTCAGCTTGTATATACAGTAATATTGTCTTCCATATTGTTAACCATATCTCTGTCACTCAGATCACCCAGGAGGTGTGGAAGTTCCTGACCAAGTGCCCAGGCCAGACACCTGGGTTCACTGGAAGACAGACTTTGTCTGCTTTATGTCCACCGTTCCTGGTGAGTCCTCAAAAACTGATTTTGATTGGTAGCTCACACCTGTTAATTTTGCTCATATTTGAATGTATGGTAGAAATAGTTAAAGCAACTGAACTTGTTGTCCTTTTGTTAAAAATGTTAGCTTAATGTTGATCCACACATTGAGGCAGGAACTGTCATAGAGAGCTGATGAAACCACTCACTCAGATGGCTGATGAAACATCATTAGCAAATACAAAAAACACAGTCTGTTCATGTCAATGTGCAAAGTTTCAAAGGTTGCTTTGTGAATTACTTTATTGTATAAACTACCAATGAACTGTCTCCACAGATACTGCATCATACAGGAATACTAAAACTGGAAGTCACTTTATCAATTACATACTGGATGTTTTCTGTGAATGTGCTCATGAAGATGACCTTATGGAGTTATTCAGGAAGGTAATTTGGAAAAGACAGATAATTTAAACTGATGTGCCTTATTTGTCATTCAAAGTACCCCCCCTCCCTTTTTTTTAGGTCACCAATTGCATGGCGACACGCCCAGGAAGAACGTTTGACAAACTCTTGCCGTGTCTAGAAAGAACATCCCTTACTAAGAAATTCTACCTGTTCCCTGGGCTCTGATATACAGGTTAAATCAAAATTGGTCTTTTGTACCTGTGTTGCAATTGTAACCTTTTACATTGTATTCATTCATTTATACACACACACACACACACACACACACACATAAATATATATAATCATAAATTTTACTTTTTTGACTTAATCTCTGAAAAAGTGTTCTTGCTGCCTTAAAATTTTAAGTTTACTCAACTCAAATATCCAAGTTATCACATAGGCCTAGTATATCTTCACATTTCAAGTTGACTAATCTTAAAACCTTAAGGCAACAAGAACACATACTTTTTTTAAAATTTAAAACGACTTACACTTTACAGTTTAAATTAACCATACAGCTGATTGTCTGATCCAAATCCAAAAAATAGTGAGAATGTGCAGTCATTTTTACTCCAGTTTGCTTTTTATAAGAACTTTTATAAATCTTTGATACTTCAAAAATGTAATCATTAAAGCTTTTCTAATTTGCTACTCATGCATTTGTCTTTTGCCTTGCTCTTCCTTCCACATCTTAATTTGTAGAAGAATTAAACATGAAAGACACTGACTCACTTGAATAGGAGACTCAACCTGATATTACTGTATAGAGAGAGATTTAGCAGCCAAGTTCAACTGCAGGCTCTAACAAATCGGTCCTGTTGTTCCTATCAGAAGCCTTCATTTACTAATTACTCTCTTGTGTTTAGAACCTGTCCTACTTAGCGGATAAAAATCACAAACATGACACTATTTACAATTTATTAATATGTAATATTTATTAATATAATTCATTAATATAATCAAACAGATGAGGAGAATAAAGAGAGTTGAATTCGAAAAGCTCTAAGCAAATCTTAGAATCGTTATCTAAGGCAAAAACATGGCATCCGTCCACTGAAGGCATGCCGCTGTAGACCATTTAAAATGTTAAATACTCAAATAAACTGTTTAGGCTACAACTGCATCTCTGCCTCAGAAAAATCAACAGTGATTTGATTAGTTTTTTCTTGATTGATGTTACTGTCATTTTCAAAGCTTATTAACCCAGTGTGCTCTAATTACGTTATTACCTGTTCTTTCATTTCACTGTAACTTGCATCCTTTGTGGAAATGATGTTAAAATGCACACCATTTTATTGGCAAAAGGCAGACCGAATGGAAACAGACTGGAGACAGAAAATTTCACAAACTTAATACCTTAATAATGCATTTTCACTTTGTCAACAACAGAAAGTGCAAAAAGTAGATGGAAACAGCTCCTGTTACAGTTACCAGGATACTGAGTGATATAACCATAGTTAACTATGGTCGCAAGTTACTGACAGATTCAGTATTCCCCCGAAACCGTAGTTCCAATAAACATCCGCAAACAGCATCACTTATATGGTTGGAACTACAGCAATTAAGCAGAGTTTCTTGTTAGTATGACATGTGGAATTACATAGGTCATGCTCTCGTACTAGTACTTACATGCAAGGTAAGTACTATCTATTCTATATCTAATACATTTATACGTCACAAAAATATAACACATTTCTAAGATGTCACATGCACGTGTGATGTATAAGGGAAACCGCGATAGAATCAAACATCTGGAAATAAAGCAGAACAATAGAGAAAAATAGAGAATAGAGGGGGGAAAACAATCTAAACAAAAAACTGACAGAAAAGTGGAAAAGTCATGAAAGTTTAGGATAGTCAACAAAACAGAAGAAGAATATGAATTACCCTGAACTGTAATTTAACAAAGACTTTGCAGACCTGGTCAAACAGGATATTTACACACATAAACCAGGATACGGAGCGCTACTAGAAGCAAAGATGAGTCACATGATACATCACAACAATACTGTGCTGCTACAGGATATTGTGAGGATGATAAAGGATTGATACATTTCTGAAATCATTCTACTACAATAATAAACCAGTGCAGTAAAAATGTCTTTCAAAAAATTACAAGAAATGGTTGAACAGAAACTGTCAAGTGCACGCTGTGCATTATTATCATCATGGACGTGGGCTCCATTATATTCACATTATAGTGCAGTGATGCTAGATCGTTTAGTTTTGCTCAGAAGTCTGCTTTAGCTGACTGAACCATTATAACAGACCATTACGGTAATTAAACAGACATTTACTTTTCACCTGCCCTGTCGGTCACTCTTTCCTAACAGAATCACCAATATAAACATGAAAGAAATAAAACATAAAAAGAGAAAAGAGACTCGATTTCTCTCCAGCAATGATATTTTCTGTTCAACAGTTAGAGTAACGTTAGCTGGGACGAAACGCAGCGGGACGGCCTGATCTTCTGGGATCACAAAGGGAAAGAGTTTCTTCTCCAGTGGCACTCTAGCAAATTCTGCAATTAATGAACCGCTGCTAGCATCAGAAAAGCTCACCTTCCTCCAGCGTTTCAGCTGCATCGTGTCTTGAAGATACTCATAACAATACACAAGCTTTACTCTCACTACCACTGGATGTAAACTGGTATTTAATCTCGACATCCCAGCGGTCATCAACTCGTACGAGTCTCCGTCACGTCTGAGACCCCAGAAGTCGTTTTCAGGGGTCAAAGGTTGTGTAGTAGGTTTTCCCTCCAATCCAAAACACACTCCAAGACTCCAGTGGTGACTGTCTCCCACCTCAATGTCCCACGCGTGATCTCCATCAGCGTATCCCACACATACGGTTCCTGTGCAGATGAAGAGGGTTGGGCTCGTCCTGCTGATGAACACATGAGGTCACAGAGGTCAGGTCATCTGACACAGAGATGTCTGGTGGAGCAGCGTTTGGATTCAGGATCACAGGGTCTAAAGGGAACAGGGAAAAGCCATTTATGCTGATATTAATAAACATAGTAGTTCTTACAGGAATTAAAGGGATAGTTCACCCAAAAATGAAAATTCTGTCATTAATTACTCACCCTCATGTCGTTCCAAACTCGTAAGACCTCCGTTCATCTTCATGAACAAAGGTTTTATGGGTTTGGAGTGACATGAGGGTGAGTAATTAATGATACAATTATCATTTTTGGGTGAACTATCCCTTTAACATTTACAGGTCTAGTTCTCACAGTAAGAGCAGATGTCCTTCATCTTCTCCCACACTTGGTACTTCAAGTTGCCCAGATGTTTGGGAACATCGATAAGAGTTTCTGAACTCAGCTCCTGATCTGGCAGTGTGTAGTCAGTCCTAAACACACACACACACACACACACACACACACATCACAGAATCAGGTTTGAAAATGAATGCTCATGAAAATTCTAAAAAGAAAAATGGAAATCCTGATAATGAAAATACCTGTCCATAATTCCATGATAATTCTGAGAAAAAAATGCAGAAAGATAACAACATAAGTCCCTTCCATGAAATAACAATACTAAACTATAACCAACACACCAACGAGAGCATATAACCTCATACTGAAATCATTTCAATTTTGTTATAGTAATATTACAAATACTCACTAGAACACAAATACACAATGTAAAATGTGGGTAAAAGTAATAATTGCATATCTGACTCATAAGTGTAACTCTGTGAGCTAAAACCTTTAAATGAACACCAATTTCTCTCTTTTTGTAGTAGAGATTTTAACCCTCAATCGGTCCCTGAGGTCAATATGACCCCAATCAACTTTTACTTATTTAAAAAAAAAATGGTTCCCTTCATCTCAGTGGAATAAGATTTTGTGACTTTTCAACATTTTCTATCTTTATTCACATAAAAAACATTTTTTTTTAAAACACACGGGCTTAATTCGGTAGTTTTGAAGGTATGTAAACATTTTTATTTTTTCTTTACAAATCTGGTCTTTGGGGTCAGTATGACCACAATTGAAAATGAATGCGAAAAAATCTCTATATATATTTTTTTCATTTGTCACATAAAAAAACATTTTTTTTTAAAACACACGGGCTTAATTCGGTAGTTTTGAAGGTATGTAAACATTTTTATTTTTTCTTTACAAATCTGGTCTTTGGGGTCAGTATGACCACAATTGAAAATGAATGCGAAAAAATCTCTCTATATATTTTTTTCATTTGTCAAAAAGAAAATCAATAAATCCAGCATAAATCTGAAAATTTCCACACAGAAATGAAGGCCTGGTACTAGAGCACAAATGCAATGTAGAAAAGACATGCTCACTCACATGCACACACACACACACACACAGACACACACACACACATGTGTGACTGCAACAGAGAGCATTTTTATAGAAATTGGCAAATACAATCAATAAATCCTGCATAAATCTGAAAATGTCCACACAAAAACGAAGGCCTGATACTAGAGCACAAATACAATGTGGAACGGGCATACTCACTCACGTACACACACACACACACGTGCACACACACACTCTCTCTCACACACACACACACACACACACACCATTCATATCTGCTTATTGCAGGTTTTTTTTTTTTTTTGGGTATTGGTTTTATTTACATTTAAGTAAAATAAAATTGTTTTGATTTTACTTTTTAGATTGAAAAAAATATGTGCATGCGATCAAGTTTTAGTCACAACTTGTGTGGCATTTCTGCACATTTATGTGGCATTATTGCAAAAGCGGGGTGTGTGTGTGTGTGTGTGTGTGTGTGTACCAACTTGCAGGAAGGTGATGTCATCATCCTCGATTCCTTCTTCCAGTTCTTTGACTCTGTCAGAGAGAGACAGTATTCCTCCTTGTATTCTTCTTTCCATCTTCCCTCTCTTTTCTTTCTCCTCTTCATTTAGAGCCGCTATCCTGCTCTCCTCCTCCTTTCTGAGGAACTGATGCAGTGTCTCAAACTCCACTCTGAGTTTTCTCTCTGTATGCTGAGCTTGAAACTGGGGGAATGTCATGGGTACACACACACACACACACACACA